TCGCGTTAGATATTTATTGAACGATTTTATAATAAATTATATTGCAAACAATTGCGTTCTTTTCACGTTTTTGAACGTGATCGTTGTCTCCGCGAAAAAGCTTTATCGCTATTCCTCATGTCAGGTGGATGCTAGCAAATGCGCGGTTTGTACTGACGGATAGTCGAAACGATTTTCATTGTGGAGAGTTACTTCTTGTCGGTTTTGGAGATCTATCTTCAACGCATAGTTCGGTGCTTTATTAAAAATTGGAAATTTCCATTACAGAGTTGGAATTAAACTCAGATTTTCTTGGTGGTTTCTGGAAACAATGTTTTTGGCAGTGATTGTTTGAATCGAATCATAAAATTCATTAAATATATTTTGAGAAAAAGTATATTTTTTTGTTAAAAATGTTCTTCTATTAATATCAATATTATTTTAATAATGAACATATCTAATAATAGTTCAAAAATGAATATAATAGAAAAATTGATTTTTAAAATTGCCTTTTTCAAATATAAATTTAATTTAATAAGTGTTTGCAGACTTTTTGTGCAAAATTTTCATTATTTGAAAAATTATATTAGTTACAAACAAGTATATTTTACTAATTAATTTTTAATTAATTTTATTTTTGGTCTCTTTTAAGAAACCACTTACAGGCACTGGGAGTTCCACTATTTCAGTATATGGTATCCACTATACAGTTTATTTATGTTAGATAAGACAAATATATATGTATATATAATAAAATACATGTGCGAAATTGTGATATATTTGAAAAAACTCTTTTTTGTATTATTCTTAATTAATATATTAGGAATGCATGATATAATATAAAATGTGTGAGTAATTAAAAAATTCGAGATAAATCGAATGGGTACTCTGATATCAGTAAGATGAGATCAGCAAATTATTGTTACGTGCTAAGTGTTAACTGTTAAATGCAACAGAAAAATTAATTTCTTGATAATCATTTGATGCTGCTAAATATTCAAATTAAATTTTTTTTGTCTGTCTGTTAAATATCTTACTGTTATTAGATTTGATTTGTCTCGAGCACATTTAGTACCCTAAAATTATTATTATTCACATATTTAATCAAGTAACGCTAAAAGCACATATATTTTATTTTTTCTAAATATACTTGATTCTAACATGTATATAAAAATCATTATATTCAGTTATTATTTAGTAAAAAAAGATATTTCTTAAAATGGAAGAACATTTTTTTTATGCGAATTTTAATTTCATTTATTGAAAATGATAAGAAGGGTAACAGTTAATTCGCTGCCGAAATCACTGTTATCAGGAGCAATTAGGAAGATCAGGGATTCGTTCCTTCCTGTAAAGGGATTTCTGATGTTTAATGAATCACTTAACTATTCATTGTCGATTTCGCAAGATCCGAAATAGAAGAAATAAGACAAATTGAAGTCGTTTTCCACTTTTAGGATCGTTCTTCTCTCTGTCAGATATTAACCAGCGTGTCACTCGGCAGAGGGATTTTGATCTGGTTTAATCGTTGGGTTAGTTATCCTTCATTGAACGTGGTGATAATGCGATTTTAAAGAACATTAAAGTTTAGCATGTTTGCAATTGTCCGCGGATATTTTTTATTTTTAATCACAAAATTTACATGAAATTGTATATTTGAAAAGAAATCGAGTATCACATTTTGAATACGCGTTTAGTTTTTTACGTCATATATTATAATTGCAGATTCCTCGTATATTATAATTGCAGATCATATAAAATGCGCCTCTAATATCACAATCTTTTTATTATCATATAAAACGATAATAATTATATTGCGTGTGCGCACGTTGTATTCAGATTATAGAAATTATATGTATTGTGGTTAAATATTATTATCAATTTATTCATCACATACATTCGTGAAATTTAAATCGCGATTTTTTCTTTAATTTAATCAAAGCTCAATTTATCTTTTCGCGATAATATTGTAGAAAAGAAAACTTTTTACAAAATGCATTAAAATTCCGGGTACTCTTTCTTAATTGAAAGACATAATCGATAAATTTATTAATGATTCTTTTGGTTGCGATAGATTATCAGCGTCAATCTAAACATTTCTAATAAATTTTACATTGTACGCATTTTTGATATTTTCGTGTAATATAACAAAATACTCATGTATGTAAAATTGTATATATTAACTATTTTATGTATAATGTATTATGAATTATGTATATTTTATTTTATTGTTATTGTTATACATTATACACTTTCAATTTAATTGTATTATTATATATTAAATTAATTTTGTAATTTATGTTTTATAACTCTTTATATTATATTTCGAGTTAACATATAGTCAAAATAAAATATTATGTATCAAGTTATACAATTATGGAAAATATAACAAAACTATGTGGAAAAGTGTTATTTATAGTGTTATTTATAACACTTACAATAGAGAGAGAGAGAGGGGGGGGGAGAGAAAATAAATCTTGAATAAAAGTCGAAAAATGGAAAATATATCTCCATTTTCCGAATAATGGTTTTATTCTCCGAACTTTCCTTTCTCTTTCTTTTTATATACATAATATTATTGTTAAGTCCAAGCGTATATGTTGATGTTTTCAACATCATTATCCATATTATTGATAATATTTGAATAAATTCGAATATACATATATTTATTTGATGTTGATAGCACCACCAATTTATAAATTGTATTATAATTATAATAAATATTTTGTAATATATTTTTATATGACTGCAAGCTATGTAATTATACACTATAATATTTTATAATTATATAATATATATTTTATAAATTCTTTGTATTATATTTTCTATTTGGAAAGTTTGAAAAATCTACACTATTAAAAGAAAATAAAATAAAATTTTACCTCCTCGATTGTATCTCCACCTTAACGAAGGCATTTGCCGGGTGAGGAGGTTTGAGTACTCTAATGAACCTAAGAGCTATGCCGGCGGTAACGTAGGCCAGTATTCATATATAATCTGTTCTTATGTTTAAAATTATCTTAGATTATATCTTAAAATTTTATTCAATCAATGAAGTGATCACAATATTTTCTTTGACTTAAGATGGCCTTAAATATAAAAACAGACTATGAATATTAGCTGTAGTTATCAGTAGGGTCACCCATGCCGGATAGGTCGAAGGGGAAGAGTCAGACTAAGAGAGATACACAAAATTTACATAAATTATATGTATTATAATAATATATAATAATAATATATAATATATAAATTATATATCATTAATATATATATAAATTATGTATATTATATTAATATTTGTGAATAAATTGGAAGCAAAAAGAAATAGTAATCGGAAGAATAGAGAAAAGTCGCTTCAGTGAATTGAACATTTTTTAAGAATGCCTGAAGATAAATAACTATGGAAGATATTCCAACAAACATCAAGAAGGAGGAAATGCATGTACCTATTATCTTAGGAATGCGACAGTATAACAATCGAAAGATTCGAAGAAGAGGATAGCGTTAAGTAAAAATTATATAGTAATAATTAAGAACGAAAAAATAGCTTGCAATTATATAAAATCTGCTAATATTAATTATATTTTATAATTGTTATATTTTACAGTTTAGTATTAGGGTATAGGTATTAAATATTCAAATATTTTGCTGTTATGGAAACTACAATAAAATAATATAAAACATGTTTGTGTGTTATATAGAGGGGAATATATAATTTCATTAATCTACAGAATACTAATTACGTTCAAAAAGATTAAATAAATTATAAAAGATTGAATTATTATTTTGTGGACATTTAAAATCGTTAATTATTACAGATATAACGAAAAGTTCTTGAGGTTATTGAAAGAGAGAGCAAAAGTAAATAAAGAGCAAGCCAGATGACATAAAATACATATATCATCAAAAGAGTTTTGAAGTCTTTTACATGATACTTCTTTTACTTAATATTATAATTTTTTGCAAGCATTATCTTATCATAAAAAATAAACTGCATTGTATTCGTTTACAATTAATAGAATGTAAATATCCTATAAAGTAAAAACTGAAACTTTTATTTTTTATTTTATTAGTTTAAAATTTTATTTTTATTCAATTTTAATAGAATAATAAGAATTTTACAATTAAATGACATCAAACAGGACATAAATCGGATGTATTTTATTGTTAAATATGTAATAAAAAATTTTTATTATTAGACTAAATTATAAATTATTATTTACGTCGTGTTTAATGTCATTTTAAATCGCAAAAATCTCACTAATTCTTTAAAATTAAATAAAAATAACTTTTTTGAAATTAAATAAAAATAAAATTTCAAACCAATAAAATAAAAAATAAAGGTTTCAATTTATATTTTATAGGATATTTACATTCTCGTGAGTTATTAATGAATAGAAGAAGCAAGAAAATTGATTGTAAGCGACTTCGAAATTTTTCGATGATAGATCAAGTGCTTTGCGAAAATATTACAAATTTGTACTATACATCGGAAAGAAAGGAGAGAGAGAGAGAAAGATCACAAAACTTATTTATATTTATTTAATATACATAAATTTATTTAATATACATAAGCGAAATTTATTTAATATACATAAGCGTATTGTGTTCTTCGTATTATTACAGTTTTTGTATCATAAGAAAGAGAAAATAAAATTAAAGTTGAATACTGAATGTGCTCTAAAGTAAATCTCATCTAAATAAATAAATGCATAAATGTGCGCCCCACATTCCTCATGAAAAAAATACATAATATTAATTTTTATGTATTATTATTTTTAGATTTTTATTCTTTTAAATTCTCTAGATGCACTTTTCATTTCTCCTCTCTTTCTTTCCAACTACTAAATATAGATCTATCATTTTTAATATAGATCTGTCATTTTTAGTGTACATTATTGCAGTAAGTGGAATAAAGAGCAAATCTTTTGGCACATTTAAAATGTACAGGAAAGTTTTATCTGATGCGTTTTTTTCAATAGAAATATCTGAAAAAAATGCATACGTCTTTTTTAATCTTAGTCTTTCTAAATAAAAATTAGAATGACGCCATGTTTGCTCCATCTTATCTTATTGAGATCAAAATTGCGGTACTTTGTTAATCTAGTGACTTTAGCTGAAGATGCTTTGAAGCATTTGATTGACCAATCAGGTTAAAGAAATCTTTACTCCTTTTACCCTGATTGGTCTATCAAATGCTTCAAAGCATCTCCTTGACCGCAGCCTCAGATATTACTTTAATGTAAAGGGAAGCAACTAATGAGTTCATGTATGAGTTCAATGACTTTTACCTTGTCTGTCACGTGTCAAAACACAGCTGTTTGAAAAAATACCGCGAGACGTCACGAGTAATGTTTTGTAGCAATTAAAAACGTGTGATACGTAGAAATAAATGAGAAAATGAAGTTGCTAACATACATGTACTTATTTTGTACAACGATTGCAATCGCTTTACCAATAAATAAAAAAATTTCTGTTAATGTGATAAATCCTGTTATACCTAATATAGGCGAGTATGAGCTTACATTATATCAAAATGATTTATCGCATATCGAAAGGCTTTAGATTTTTTTATTTCTCATTAAAAGACATTGCTGTGTAATGAAGATTAGTTTTTGTATTATATATAATATCAGAGAATGCAACTTTTATAAAACTATATTTTATATAGTTAGAACATTAAACCAAGATCAAGAACAAGATTTATTACTATATCTTTACGAATCGTCGCAGGACCCAGAAGTCCGTCCTGGTTTGTTTGAGGGAGATATAGCCATGACTAATGAGGTATATATTTTATATATATTTTGTTAATATTTCTCATATTTTTTTTATTATATTACTGTGTATTTTTTTTTATATTTCTTATATAGTGCATTTTGCATTATTTTTTATATTTTTTATTATTTCTTGTATTTTATATTTCAGTATCTCAATTATTGGCGTATTGGTTTACGTTGGGATGTTTTCCCAGATAAATTGTGGCAAAATGGAATAGTTCCTTATGTAATTAGTGATTTGTATAGTACGTATGTATTAATATATAACTATATAGTTAACATTATATTCAATATTTGAAAGAACAAAGATGAGAGAATACAATTAGTATAATACACAAGCTTTTGTCTTCAGATCCTGCAGATTATGTAAAAATATATAAAGCAATCACATATATAAATAATATGACATGTGTTAAATTTATTCCATGGGATGGTAAGAGCAAAGATTTTTTGCTGATTTGGCCAATGATGAATCCTAAAGGGTAAATATTCGTATTTTATATAAAAAGTACGAATGAAAAAATAAGATATTTCTTTCAAACATATGTAAAAAAAATTATCCAGATGCTGGTCATTTGTGGGCAAATTCGGTGGAGCTCAGATTCTTTCCCTGGAACCGCCAGACGAGAAAGGACCGAATTGCTTAGAAAACGAGGGAAGAGCGATACATGAATTGATGCACGCTCTCGGTATCTTCCACGAGCACAGTCGTGCCGATAGAGATATGTATATAGATATACATTACGAAAATATCATACCTGGTAAATATTTATATTTCTAAATTTATATAAATTATAAAATATATGACAAAATAAAATATAATTATATAATCTATAATATATATTATGCGTAAGTACAGACTACTATTTTTGTTGGAATTTTTCTAACGATGATTTTTTTTTTTTATATATTATAGGATTTCGATCAAACTTCAATAAGCAATCGCCGGAGAATGCGACGTATAGCTACGAATATGGATATGACAGCATAATGCATTACGGTAACTACTTTTTTAGTATAGATCCCATGAAACCAACTTTGACACCGAAAATGCCTGGTGTCATGATTGGCCAACGAACAGCAATGAGTAAAACCGATTGCCTGAAGCTGAACAATCTTTATGGATGTTTGAATAAGCCGGAAGAAGCAGGAATATATCACAATATCTGCAAAACATGGGGATTGTAGGCTATATTACTGGCAAAAGTAATTTCTAAAGATGCTAATAACATTTGATAAGTTATGAAAAAGACTGAATTTACATATACATTATAAAATTTATTAAACTTATATAAAGTTTACATTGACATGCAACATGTCATACAGTAATATCATTGATTGTAAAGTAGTTTAAAGTTGTTTCACATCACATTGATGCTTTATTACCTTGCGTTGTTTTTGTATTGAATTTTTTTGATACTTGTCATGTTATTTATGCAAATAGTATTATATTTCTTCTTTGGTATAGATAATGTCTTTCATATTGACATTGTCCTAGTAAAAAACTATTCAGCTGATCCTTGTAATCCTTATGAATGTTATCACTATCTTGATTTTCCATTTCCAATAACAGCTTTTAATCTAAAGTTTATATACAGAAATATAAAAATTAAAATTTTATTTTGAAACTTATATATAATTGTTAGAAAAGAATTGCAATTTGTAAAATCAGTTCTTCTTAGAGGAAAATGTGTGTAATATCACAATTATATCATATGCTAATATCATCATATTAAAAAAAAACCTTTTAATAATTATTTTAATAATTAAAAAAATTATATATATAAAATTAATGAAAACTTACCTAAGTTGTGCAATTTTTTATATTTGCAATATATTTTGTACTTGATTTCGCTTATTTTGTTGATATTTCCATATACCATTAATCATTTTTTATTTCTTAATTTTTTCAATTAATATTTCTTAGTAATAATTATTCAAGGACTTTTCCACAAAAATATGTGAATTTATTATTTGAATTCTGAATTGCCTTAATAATTGAGATTTCTTTGTCAAAATAATGTTGCTCTAATATTGTAAGTAGCAATTACAATGTATTAAGCTTCTCAAATATATGCTACAGAGATATCTTTCATCTTTTACTCGATGTTGATATATTCTGATATATATATCCAATTTCTTCTTTTCAAGTTGGAAAATGTCCAAAAATCATTGTATGAACTGTATGATAAATAGGCCAAATCTGTTCCAATATCATGTAACTCTTGATGAGTATGTCCAATGATGTAAAGTCTGATATTCTTCTGTTCTTGTGTTGAATTGAAATCATTTTTTCTTATTTTCCTCAGATGAATATGCATCAGCTCCGTTTAGAGTTTTTGATTTTTATTTTATCCTATCTAATCCTAAAATCATTTAAAAAAGTGTTATATAATTTCTGTAGACATTTAGAGCCTAAAAGAATATGTATCAATATTTAAGAATTAAAGAATTATTGGGAACTTAGAGAAACGGCTCCAGACAGTATCGTGTGGATTCCGAAGGCAAGATCCCTTTTTACTTTACCTCCCACAAGCATTCATGCTCCATTGAGATACAAGATGGAGGCATGCCAAAATGAGAGGATATTTGAGATCAACTTAATAAAGTTACTTATAATATAATTAACAGATTTTTTAAAAACAGTCATTTTGTATTCAATTTAAATATTTTACTAAAATCATTCAATGTATAGTTTGTTTCGCATAAAATCTTGCAAGATATTTTTCTTCGAAATTTGATATTGTACAAAAAAATGCTTCATATAAAATTTATAAAGCTTTCAGAAAGGGAAAAGTTGATAATCTTGAATTCTATTTTTCAAAGACAATCTAATTTTTAAATGAAACTACTCTAATTAAAAAGAATAACTATTCTCATTGCACATTTATATTTTTTTGTATTAATTGATTTCTTTCATTATTTTGTACATGAAATTATTGAGATAACAATCGAAAAATGAATATTTTATAAAATTTATGTAAATAAATATTTCACAAATTTTATATAAATTGGCTTTGCTATGTTTATAATTTTTAAGACTGAGTATTGTAAAATAAATTTATATAAAAAAATTAGGGTCACTCTATTAAAAAAAAATATATTTATACAATTTTGAAAAATGATCTTAAAATTCAAGATTATTAATTTTCTTCTTTCTCAAAATTTTATAAAATTTGTCTGAAACATTTTTTTCATGTCATGTTTCGGAGAAAAAATTTCGTGAAACATTTGGTATGTACACGTGGAGAAAAAATAACTCTAATCGTGACTCGCATATATATATCAATTTTCCGAGTGCATAAACGACAAAATATAACGTGCAAATTTATTATTCCATATGAAATATGAAAAATAATTATATTTTGTTTTAGTCACTTATGCTTTGATCATTAAAATAGGATATTACAGAAGGATATTAATGAAGATCCACGTGTACGACGATTATAAACGAACATGATAAAAAAGATTATATTTGATCAATTAGACATACGTTATTCGGTTTGCCAAAAAATCATTGATAAAGCGAAGTAACTTTAAAAATTTGTTGATTAGAAACAATTTTTGCAGAATTATAAATTGTGAAAGAAAGAATAAAATAAAGAGATCTTACTCACATCACTACTAATGAAGGAAAGAGGGATTCAGCAGAAATACTTCCTTTTAGAATAAACGATAATGATTTTCAGCGCCATCTCTACTCCAAGAGTGGGGGAACATCCGAGTGAGTTTTAAGGCGCATTCACATTTTGGCAGAAAATGCAGGAGCCAATCACAACTCGCGCTGGTAGTTAGAATTTTCATGTTTTGCCTATCTATGTGTTGCTTACACACTGCTTATTACCCGAGTTTTGATTGGCTATTTTGTTTTTCTGTCAAGATGTGAATGCGCCTTTAGAGTTTATTTATTTTGTGTCTTAAGCATGGGATAGAGTGCAACCTCAACTTTTGTTTTTTATACCTATAGCTTGATTTAAATATTTAAATTATTGTTCGAATGATTGCACATGTATTAAAGTTGAAAATTATGGGATTTTTGCGAGAAACTGCTGTGTCAAATTTAGATCATGCAATTGCAGGAGCTGCCAGTGGATTTATAACAAGATTTTTATGTCAGCCTTTAGATGTTATAAAAATTAGATTTCAAGTAAGTTTTATTATATTGAAGTAAGTGTTTTATATTATATAATAAAATTTATGATGTATTTTCTTTTGCATGTGTGATTTCATAATTTATCATTTTTGTATAGTTACAAGTTGAACCAATTTCAAAGGCTCATATTAGCAAATATAATTCTGTACCACAAGCTTTTTTACTAATATTTAAAGAGGAAGGAATTTCTGCTTTGTGGAAGGGCCATATACCTGCACAATTGTTGTCAGTTACCTATGGGATGGCTCAGGTGCAGAATAAAATTTATCCAATAACATATTTAATATAGCAATTAAGTAAATGTTTAGTTTGATGAATACTATTGAGCGACAAGTTTTATCTTTCAAGCTTTTGTTTTTATGCAAAAATATTGAATAAGTATATTTTTATTAAAATTTAAATGGGGTATTTTAAATTAAACGTTTGCCTTTCTTTTTTTTCAGTTTTATTCTTATAATGTGTTTATGCAAATGATGCAAAGTGTACCAAGAATTGAGAAATGGAACCATTCAATGCATTTTATCGCTGGTGCTGGTGCTGGAAGCATTGCAACAATAGTTTCATTTCCTTTTGATACTATAAGGACTAGATTAGTAGCCCAATCAAATAATCATCAAGTATACAAAGGAGTGCTACATTCTTGTAGGTGAGTTGCAGAAAGATTATTTTCAATTTATATTATTACTAATAATAAAAATTATGTTTTTATTAGTACAAATATCTATAAAAATATTTTTATATTTCAGTAACATATTTATTTGCTTTTTTAGTACGATTCTTCGACAAGAATCGCCGAAGGTCTTCTTTTCTGGTCTATTACCAACTTTATTGCAAATTGCTCCACACACTGGCTTGCAATTTGCATTCTATGAATTTTTCACAAATTTCTATAAAAAATACACTTCTGATACCAATACTAATTTCAATAATTCCATGTTATCTGGTAGCATTGCTGGATTTATTGCGAAAACGATCGTTTATCCGTTTGATCTTGCTAGAAAGAGGTTGCAGATACAAGGTTTTCAACATGGTCGTAAAGGATTTGGTAAGTTCTTTCAGTGTAACGGATTATTGGATTGCTTGAGAGTGACTGTAAAAGAAGAAAGGATACAAGGTCTCTTCAAAGGTCTAGTACCGAGTCAGATAAAAGCTGCCGCAACTTCAGCTTTGCATTTTACCATGTATGAACAAGTTTTGCTAGTCTTAAGAATATTGTAATATAACAGCAAGTTTAAATTAGAAGAACTTATTTTAACTTATTTGACATACTATTTTATATATATATATATATATATATATAAATATATATATATATATAAATATATATAAATATATATATATAAAATAGTATTATATATAAATATATATATATATATATATATATATATATTTATAATATATTATAATATATATATTTTACATGTATACTATCCTTTGTATTGCAAATACGTTAATAGATTAATATAATTTGTATGTGCAATATAAATTTGGTTAAAAGTATTGCTTATAAAATTAGGCAGGCGTTATCTTAATGCAGAGAAAGATCTATATAAATATTAAGTTATATTTTTTATGATATTAAAGCATAAATCAACAGTAAGTTAATGTTTACATTTTTTATTTAATGAAGTAATAACTTTTCTATTTCTATAAATGATGCAATACTTTTAACCAATACTGTAAATTAATATATTGTAGAAGACTGATTTATTCAACATATATATTTGTAAATAATAATTTTCCATTCTTAAATATATAAATCATAAGTTTATCATTGATTTTTTACTGACTAAAACTTATTTATATCACAATATGATTATTGAAAATCAAGATTATATATTTCAGTCATTTATCAGTAATATAATAGTTATAAATTAATTTGTGCAGGCATATTTTCAGGTATTCCCTCTAGGACAGCTATAATATTTTTTGCTGTAATTCTAGCCATTTCATTTCTAGTCTCTATGGTAGCACTTCCTATATGAGGTAGAACCACTAAAAGGATTAAATATAGATTAATATTATATATATATAAAATTTTATATGCAATTTTTATGTATAACATGAATCTATACACCTACCACAATTGTCTAGTTTTAATAATTCACTATCTAATGGTATCGGTTCTGGTGTTACAACATCTAAACCAGCTGCTGCAATTGTACGATTCTTTAAGGCGCTTATCAACGCTTCTTGATCCACTATGTCTCCGCGACTACCGTTCACAAATATAGCCGTTTTTTTCATTTGTTTAAAGGCCTCAGCATTGAATAAATGCTTCGTTTCTGATGTCAGAGCTATAGTCACGACGACAAAGTCACTGTTCTTGAGTAATGTGTCAAATTCAACCTTTTCACCGCCGAGTTTGGACGCTTCTGGTTTGACTGTTCTACTTGTATATAACATTTTAGCAATGTTGAAGTTTTTAAGCAGCTCTGCTACCCTGATTCCGATTCTACCAAAACCGACAATTCCTACAGTTTTCCCTGACAAGCCTGTGCCACACATCCATGTCGGCGACCAGGCTTTCCATTCGTTCCTTCAGTACATAAAACAATATTTCATTTCATATATTGCAAAGATTATATATACTTTTGCGACATGTTCTTAATGTTCAGCATACTTGTAAATTGCTCTATTCGCTTGCAGTAAATTCCTTGATGTGGCTAACAGAAGACCTACTATCAGTTCTGCAGTCGCTTCAGTAAGAACATCAGGGGTGTAACCGACTTTAATGCCTCTGTTTTTTAAAGCATCTAAATCCAGGTGATCCACTCCTACTGACATAGATGCCACAACTTTCAATTGTGGGCCTGCAGCTTTCAGTACCTCATCATCTATCTTGTCTGTTAGCAAACAATACAGAGCATTCATTCCACAGATTCTAGATAATAATTCTGATCGTGGTATTGGTTCAGGTTTGTCCCATGACATTATCTGATATTGTCTGAAAGTAACATAAATACTTGTATATTGTGCTATTAAATTTCTTATATTTCATGACATTATAGACATTGTTTTATTACATTGCATAATTATTTAAAATTTACACAAAACTTAAAAATGTCAAATATAAAAAATTATATGATTATGAAAATTTAAAAAAATACAGAACAATGAGATAATTAAAATCATATGTTTTATAGTTCAATAAAATAAATTGTTTTTAGCAATAAAAATTTATTGTAAATAGAATATTCACCGTTCGTGCAGCAAAGATAAACCCGCAGCAGGTATGTCCGGTCGTGTAATTAAAATTTTAGGTTTATCCATTTCCACAGAATTCGTTAGAAACGCTTTCAGACAATTGCAGATTGTTGGATTGAACCTGTTCGAAAGAATAAATCTCTCGCCTCGCTTAAAGAGACCGACAGCGTTCCTGTATTGCATTATGTATGTATCACGTATAACCTCTGGAATTATGTAAATCTCTAAATTTTTTTATAGAAAAGAAAAAATGTACCTTTTCTGGATTAAAAACTCATTTATACATCACTATATGTATATAAATAAGTTGTGATTTTTGGAAATCTTATTTTTTCTTGCAGTGATGACTTTTAATTCTTTTTTATGTATTTTTTAATTCTTATTGATAAATATAAATTTTCATCGAGTTCTAAATTTTTTAAAACGTATACAAAATCTTTTTAAGACACTGAAAATCACGATTAAATATATCGTCGATGTTAAACTCGATCGATAGTCTCCATAAGACTCAATAGCTTCAAGGTAAAATATTGAGTCGATGGTCGGTGATATATTGAGCGTTTAAGATGAGAACTATAATTGCAGAGATATATGTGCCTGATTATAGTCATGTAATAACAAATTTGCACTTAAAGATTGCTACAGAGATCTCATTGTCAGATACATGAAAACAGTGGTGAAATTTAATTTATAAACAAAATGTGTTTACATATATTTATTTATTATTAAAATTAATAGAAGGCACTTATCTATAACAATCATGTTTGAGAAATATGTATATAAAATTAACATAAAAATATGTAGTGAAATGCAAGTAAATAGAAGGAGCAGGTTTGATTTTATTATACATTTTTTTCTCATTCAGCTATTACACATAGTATATTTCCGTTTTCTGATAATACTGCGTAAAACGGTTTTATAACTTGTTTCACAAAAATAATACTATAAAATACAAGAATCATCATAACAAATTATGTATATCAATATACAAATGCTTTGCTATCCTTTAAACGATCGGCTTGTTTTGCGTCCTTCTGATTTCTCATAGCAGCTGTGACTGTGTTCTTCATCAGCATCGCCACCGTCATAGGACCCACGCCACCTGGGACTGGTGTAATATGCCCAGCAACTTCCTTTACACCATCGTAATCCACGTCTCCCACTAGGCGATATTTACCATCTGCTGTTTTTACCCTGGTGATTCCCACATCAATTACACAAGCGCCCGGTTTTATCATTTCCTTAGTAATCAAGCCGGGAACTCCAGCCGCCACCACGACAAGATCAGCCAGCTTTGTAAATTTTTCCAGTTCCGTGTGAGGAGTGTGAATATGACAAATTGTGGTTGTCATGTCCAAGGCACCTGTTTCACCTAAAAATGGAATATGTAAATTGGGAAATTTATTAATAGAGAATTTAAGTTTAAAAAAAAAAGAAAATTTTAAAATATATATTAATTTTTTTTTATTACTGTTTATTATAAATTATTTATATTTATAAAATTGATTTAAATTTATTTTTTTTTTAATTTTTCATTATTTAAAAATCCTAAAATTAATGTTATTTGATAGTACCAAGATTTTTAAATTTATAAGAAAGTTTTTCTCTAAAGAAGAAAAATATTAAAATATGTAAATAGAGACATTATATAGACTGCATAAATTTGTCACTAGTTACTGATATGAGTCTATTTTAATGTAACACAACTTTGCTATCATATCAAATTAATATTACCTTTGCCATCTGCATGAAGTAACAATGCGATAGGTAGACCAACATGTTTTGATCTACCAACAACCACAGCATTCTTCCCAAATGTCTCAATTTTACTTCTAAGTACTAATTCCTTAACAGCCAAGGGAGTAGCTGGTACAATACTATTTTTATCTAGTGTTAAATTGCCAAGATTTTCCAAGTGAAAACCATCCACATCTTTTTTAGGAACTATTGCTTGGCATACTTCTTTATCATTCATACCTTTTGGCAATGGTAATTGTACTAAAACACCATCAACAGATGGATCTTTGTTAAGATTATCAATTTCCATAAGAAGATCCGCTTGCGTTATGTTTTCTCCCAAATGAATGGTGTAACTCTCGATTCCTGATTATTAATAAATAGGATTAGAAAAAAGATAAATTTGTGCCAATAAAAATGAATATTTATCAGAATCAAAAATATATTTACCTACTAATTTTGCAGCTTTCATCTTTCTACCAATATATGCTTTACTAGATGGATGATTTCCTACCAAAATTGCTACTAGCTTTGGTCTCTTTTTCCCGGCATTTACACAAGTATCTACAACAGCTTTTAATTCCTCTTGAATCTCTTCTGCTATTTTTGATCCATCTATTATTGCAGCTTCTTGTCTACAAATAAAATTCAGAGATATTACGTATGTATATAAATTTGTGTAGTTTATATTCAAAATATAATTAATAAACTTTTATTTTTCAGGATTAATATTGAACATAAACATTCTTGAAAACTTGTCATCTTTTTATGTATTTAGGTTCTATCAAAAAATATTTAATAATTTTGTTATTAATATACAAGTATCTTTTTAGATAGATGTATATTGAAATATTATAATTTCTTATAATTGATGATAATATAAATGTTTAACTTTGTGGTTAGATATATTCTTTGCATTGCAGATTAAAAAATCAAATATAAAGATTTATATTGTCTATGATTTTTTTAATAATATAATGTAAAAATTATATAATTTTATATATTATGTATATTAAGAAAATGTTTATAATATAATATAAATTATAATGTTAAATATTATAAGTAAATATAATATTTATATAATATAAAAATAATATATTATATATATATATATATATATATATATATATGTATATATTCTTATATATCTATGAAAAAATGATCTATATATCAAAGCATTATTTGACAAAAGAAAATAATTTTTGTACTCACCGAATTTTTGACAGATGCAACTTTCTGGCAAAGCTCTGCGAGACAAAGGAAAGGATGCTCCTCCGGGAGAACATTGTTGCTTCGAGGGATTCAATCGCTCTTCTGAGATATATGCTATTGCATGCTGCTAGTCAAAGATATATCGAGGAATTCCTGTTACAAAAGACTTATGCAATCTATTACGTCCGCGATAATACAAGAGATATTATTCCAACAAAATAGCTGTCGTAAAAACAATACAGCTCGCAGGGGGTCGATAATACTGACGTTTATTCGTGTGACGTTGTTTATTACGAAATCGATGGAAATAACAAGCGATCGGTCCAGCCTCGCCTTTTCCTACTCCAGAAAAACATTGTACGAAAAAATAGGCAGTTTAAAACCGGTATTGGAGTTGCAAAACCCATGTTCGCAGTCAACGTAATGTCAAGTGTCATGTGAAATGTTGAGACAAATATTACATACTGTATACTCGACATGGCATAATTTTGAGGAAATGATTTCGACATTGGCTCAGAGATGGTGCCACGAATTCATTTTCGCGCGCACAGATGTTTTACGTCATTGCCGGATGATGGAGCTGGAGGATCTATCAGTCAGAGCGCGCTCATACTTCGTATTTAAAAAGTAAAGAAGAAGTGTAGTGAACAAGTGATTTAATACATCAGCTACCAGAAAAGTGATATATGTAAGTATAAAGTAACGTATCTTATTGATTTGATACTTGATTTGATACTTGATTGAAGATATTTCAAAAGAAATTTCGTAAAAAGTTACTGCTACTTTGCATATCGCTGATCGCACCGATTAACTTTTATTTAGATGAGAATAAGGTTATATGATACAAAATTTATTCGTAACAAATTTATTTCCATGTTAAATAATTTTTGTTATATTATAGTATTACTAGAAATGTCTAATAACTATTAATTAGAAATGTAAAAATTATTAGAAATATCGACTATTTATATGAATATTTAAGATAATTGTGAAGAGAAATTAGAGATCTCTAGAGAGAGATTAGAAGTTGTTTATTAAATGATATTAATTGTTTCAGGTAAAAATATTGATGCTCTGATTTCTTCTACATTTAATTTAATAATAACTGATTATCCTGTCGCTTGATCATTAGGTAAAAAAGACGCATTTTCGTTAAACGAGATAATATATTAGACGCATCAAAAGGATTACGTAAAATTATTGGCAACTTTCGGGCCCGGAAAAGACGACGAAATAATATTACGCGGGAACAGTATTAAGAATATGAAATATGACTGAACGTACTCTGCTCATATGTCGGTGTATTATTATACCAATCCATCGTGTCGTAACTACCGTAACGTGGCCTACATAGTAAATATTAAACATGTAGTTCGATTATACAAGCTTGCACTTGATGGATATACCGCGTGTTCAATTTAGAAGAGAGAGATAGGAAAAGAAAATCCAGAAGAATCATTAATATAAATAATCATATATATAAAATAGAAAAAATAATTAATATATGAAATAATTTTTAAAAAATGTGTGAAAGTAAAAATTAGTACCGTCCTTGCTGAAGATAAATTTTTCATCAGCAAAAAACGATATTGGGAAAAAATTCCACATGATGCATTTTTTCTGTAATTTTATGACGATTGCATTGTGTCAAAATTTTACTCGAAATAACGATCTGATTATTATCAAATACGTCAATTATTACACCAATTCATCGTATTGTAGCTACTATAATATGACGTATGTACATAGTAAATATCAAACATGTTGTTTGATTATTCACTCACACATTGCGAAACTTGACGTATGGTGTCCAATTTAGAAGAGAGAGATAGAGAAAGAGAATTTATGGAATCATTAATATGTAAAATAATGTAAAAAATTGTGTGAAAATAGAAATACTAGAAGAAGTTTATTATCAGTAAGGACGGTGTTTGGAGGAAGTTATATAGGATGCATTTTTTATTCGAGATTTTATAACGCCGCATTGTCATTATTTCACTTGATATAATGATCTATCGATTATTATCAAGTATGTCAATTATTACACTAATCTATCACGTCGTAGTTACTGTAACGTAGCCTATATAGTAAATATTAAACATGTTGTCCGATTATTAACACATTGCGAAACTTGACGGATAATATTCAATTTAGTAAAGAGAGATAGGAAAATATAGAGTTGAAGAAATTATCATATACCTATTATTAATACCTAAAATAATTATGCGAAAATAAAAATAATAATAATAAAAGTTTATTATAGGAAGGAGATATTGGTGAAAATCCACATGATATATTCTGTCGTAATTTTATAATGACGTATTGTCACCACTTTGTATGAAAATAACAATCTGTCGATTATTAGCAAGTATGTCGGCAAGTGTGGGTATAAATTTTAGTAGATTCCTATACGGTATGGCCAAATATTTAGTTGGCCGCAAGGGTTGGCGCGCATAGGACGCATACTTTCTATGATATTATAAACCGAGCTTGAGCTTCCACGACGTGCAACCATTGATCAAATAGTTGGTCTCAGTTATGACCCCAAGTCCTGGTATGTGTGAATGCGCGTTTGTTGCTAAATCTTGCTGTCAAAATTTCGACTTGCCGGCAAATCGATTGCAATATGCCGAATTGAAATACCTAACATTGTGATAGGAAATATTTCCGGTTATACCTTCGATGACATGGAAAAATATGTCAAGCAATATATATATTTCTGAAAAGAATATCTTATATATTTATATGATTATATTTGTAACATTAAATTTTTGTAGGCCTTATAAAGAAAATTTAATTCTTTTACAGTCTTAACTCTTTTATTTTCTTATTTATTTATTTTTTATTGCTTTTTTCCTCGTGTATTTCTTTTTCAAAAACTATTAAATTTATGATGAAAAAATTCTATAATCACATACATTAAATGACAATTTTATTTCAGTAATAATAATATATTATAATATTTTTATTCTTTCTTTAGATACATATTAACTTATTTATATATATATATATATATATATATATATATATATAACGTTCTATTATTTTTAAATATATAATAAATAAATAATAAAACAAAAAAAATAAAATTAAAATGAAATAAATAAATATATAATAAATTGCGATCTCAATGTTGAAATTACATTCGCGAGGGCAAATTCTTCAAACGTGAAGTTTTAACACACGTATATAAAGGTATAATTTAAAAGTGTAATATAAATTATAAAAGTATGCGCTCTTTCTGTTTCTCTCGCAAATATCTACTTTTATATTCTCTTTCATGAGGGAGAGAGAAAGAATACAACTATGTCACGCAGCTGAGCTATTTTAGTCGACGGTGATTAATTCCGGCGAGTTCTTTTCGCGTGTGTCCATGCGTCGCTTGAATTTCCTAAATTCACAGGCTGGTTTTGAGCCCGGGTCTCAGAATTCCTCGGCACTCGACATTTTAACAATTCGGCACTCGCTCCCTCCCCTCTCCGTCATAACATGCAGCACAAGTATGATAATTATGCGTCTCTCCTTTAACAACGTCATTTCCTTGTGATTTTCATTTTTAGAGCGTTATATTATAATTCCATAAATTGGACGTGTTCTTTTTTTTTTTCCTTTCGCGAGCAGAATTACTCTTGATATTTCGGACTGCGATCGGAGGACCGTGTGCAGAATCGACTGCATTATGTAAAAAATTATGCGCCCCCGTTGAATGAATAAATATATTCCTGTCTCGTATATACGCACTACACCTCTCGCCCTTTGTCCTTTACCCTTCGCCCAGTAAGCTTCGCGACAGCGCTCATACATAATTTATCGTCCGTAGAATCTGCGCGCTCTCAACGATAAAACGTTTACTATAATCGGTATACATTGTTATCGCTATCGATTCAGCAGGCGGAATGTGCCTTGCGTAAATGTGCCTTCTAAATTTGTCTCTCTCATGTCTGAGTCTTGTTTTTATCGTAATATTCTTAAATTTTGAAAAATATGAGGTTGTTATCTATTTTCCGTTTTTTACAAATAGATCTGCTTAAAATTGGCTGAAGATACCATTGAAATATTGTATATACGAGTAAAATATTTCAGAAAAAACCAATTACAAGTTAAAAACTAGTCAATTTTTACAATTTTGAATTTAGTACTCAATAACTAAGTTTATGACTGTTTAAAAAAAAATTATGTTTAGATAAAATTCTATTTAAAATACTTAATAATTAGTGCATAGGTTTTAGTTGCTAAAATTTTTACCTACTAATTAATATATAAAAGTTTTAATAATAGCACATAAGTTTTTATGGTTTTCTCGTTTTAATGAATATTTGTAATGAGTTAATTTTATAAAGATTTTTATTTATTTAAATGTAATAATAATTAAAAATTATTATATAATATTATATTATATAATTATTATATAATAAGTAATAACAATGAAGTAATTTAATAATCAAATAACTTATTAAATAATTTATTAAATAATAATTATTATTTATTTAATAATAAATAAATGATAAGTTTTGGGAAAATTTAAATAAAATAAAAGACCGATCAATAATAGATTATTGAAAGAGAATTGATGATTAAAACGTAAGCAGTAATATTTGTTAAATATTAATTAACATTAGAATTGGCTATATTCCAATTTTCTATTTGAATATTATTCTATATCATATTGTCACATTTTATCATCATCGTGGTAAATTGTCGATAATGTTATCTTTATATTTTTATTGTGGGTATATCTGGAAAGTCTTGATAAGTCCGGAAAAAAAACTTCCATGCAGATATGAATGAATTCGTTGAGAATATCGCCTGTGACGAGAAGTTGTGACGTAAAACTGATCATTCTGACGTATATGTAAACGATAGATATGTCGACAGACGTCAGTAGGTCACACGTCGGCTTGTTGCAAGTCAATTTTTGTATTGGATATTCGTTCGCACATGACGATGACAGCGTTGATACACAGTGGTTTATTTTGATAGAAATTGTGCCTAACAATTACAGTATCGTTGCGTTAACATGATTGCTGTCACTTTTTGTTATTGCGTCATTAACTCGATAGCGTTCAGTCAATGTTTAATTGCGCAAATCCGTCTGCAAACGCAGTTGAAAATATTTTGAAATATTTTGAATTATTTTTATATAATAAGATTATTTTATTTTTATACAATGAGATGATATATAAGAATATTTTAATAATTTATAGATATATATCTTATTTAAATCTTTTTTTAAATTATCCTACATAAATGCCCTGTCTCTTGAAAATCTTTCTCAGCAATTATAACGCTCGCGTTATTAACTTTTAATATTATTTTCGATTTCGTGCGCATATTTAATGAGGCAATGGCTTATTACGAAATTCCATCGGTCATTGATTGCCATTTGCAGTGCGTTCAGTAGTTAATTAACCTTTTAATTTAATGCAGGTGGTGGCGTAAATTTTGCGAGTTCTCATCGAGAAATATCGGACGTGTTTCGACTCTCTGTAGAAATCTGGATTTGCGGCTCATGATTTCCATCAGAATCTGGACTGGCGGCTGACCACATTTGCGGTATTACTACTTGCCGAAAACACGGATTCTCCGGACCTTGAATACCCGTTACCAAGAAGATACGTGCATTATGTAGCCAGCGAAATATATCATCTGAGGCATTACACAGGACCATCAGGTATGAAACATTAATTTTACATACAGAAATGTAATGTTTTGTGCGCTCATTGAGGAATTTAGAATTTTAGATTAATTTCAGGATAAATTAATCTAATTCTGAGCGAGACAGTAGGACAGTAATCTAATTCTAACTCACGCACAATAAAAAAGGGGGAAGGAAAGTTATTGCAAATAAATAAAATTAATATTTAAATAAATATAAATATACGCAATACATTTTTTTTTCAACAAAGTTTATGCATATCTTTTCTTCGATAAAAATTTTGATGCGGTACTCGCAGCAGTTACATGATATCTGTATGCACATTATGGACGTAGTACAAGTTTAAAGAAAACAATGTGTCATGTTCCAATGGTAAATAAAAATATGTGAAACAGAAAACGCGGACGATATACGCACTGCAGTCCGCTATGCTACGATAAACACAATTTTGTTGCACAAATTTGAATACGCAAGCTATCTGTCGCACTTTTCTTGATTTGAATAAAATGTATTGCGTATAATCAATATATTTTTTTCTTCAAATAAGCGATATACAGGGAGTCATCATGATGTATAAACAAGAAGAGATTGAAAAAATAGAAATTTTCATTTTAATTATCGGATCATTCGGTATATCATATATTAGAGTTTTCTCCTCATTGTTTATGTGCGATATTTAAATATATATACTATGAATATTTTTATTCACGATTATCTTTGCAAATTGTTTTCTCGTAATTAAAACAAGATATTTTAGTAAACTATTTTCCTGATGTTAAAAATGTTTTGCTACAATTTAAAGTTTTAACAAATAAAAGATCTGTAAAAGTTGCAATAAATGCATCTATTTTAATAGATACATTTCTCAGAATTGACGTAATGACGTTAGAGAAAATAATGCAGGCTCTTTGATGTTGCTTTATCCTTCGCATTAAGAAATTATCGTTATTCCAATAAGGCGCTTTATCATCACTAAATCCGCGCTACTCGTCGCTACTGCAATAATTAAAATATTATTTTGCGATAAAAGGGAAAAAATGAAGCGATAAGCGTAACGAGCCCATCATCGACATAAAAGCGTTTCCATTTAATTACAATCGATCGCAGCAGGGATCGCCTTCGGCATCGGCTTCGAGAGGGGGGATGATCCGAGGGGACGAAGCGGTTTTATCGGCGGTCAACCGCGATGCGGTTCGTACATTGGCGTTAAAACCACCACTCAAATTTGCAGAACTTTTTATTTGTCCCACCTGTTCCGACCTCCAACCAACCTTTCCTTCTCTTTTCGGAGGGGCTTAAAATTTCAGAGAGCTTTTCTCCCTGTCTTTTCCTTTTCCAGCCTTCTTTCGCCTCGTCTCCGTCTCTTTCTTTCCTTTTCGTCATTTGGTTAAGAGATTTTTTCCCGTTTGAGGATCCTCGGTAAGTCCCCGCATGATCTTCGCGAGAGGGCAACCAACAGAAAACGTTTGATCTACTTGATGCGATGCCTTTAACAGCTCTTCCGATTCTTCGTTTCCCCCTTTTTCGAACGCTCGAACCAAGCTTTTCCTCGTTATTTCGGATTTCGATCTTGTCGGCATTCTTTTTTCCTTTCAGTCCTGCCTCGCGACTTACTTTTGCGCTTCATTGCATAGTTGTAAACGCAAATGGTTGCTTCAATCTTCAGTTCTTCAGAGACCACCGAGATATACGCGAAATTCAATTTTACCTGACAAAAAAGATTTTTATCTGATGAGAAGGATTTTTAACCACATAAAGCTTGGTAATATTAATGGACATAACTTTAAAGGAAACCTTATATTTTCGAGATCCATATCTATAAAAAAAAATAAAAATCTCTGTTTTAGAAAGATTTGTAAAATGACCGATATAAAGAAAGCACAACTAAAATTATATAGAATGATGGTTTCAGACACGGCGGATTTGTCTGCTTCGCAGCTTCTTGCGTGCGCTCGTTTGTCATTTTTTGAGCAAAGTTCATTGCTTCCCGGATCATCGGACGTAAGCTATAAAAAATGTAAGAAAAAGAGGGAAGAAGGAGCGACGGTGAGAAAAAGGTGGGAGAAACACTTTGAAGCGGAGCGAAACTTTGGAGTTGGCGTTATTGATGTCTTCGGTAGACGTGTGCAAGGACGGGGGTGTAGAGAGGAGAAGAGGGGACGGTCGGAGGGGTAATCCGGAAAGCAGCCTGAAAGGCTAAATGAGAAATACTTTCCGATCGGGTAGCAGTAGTAGCAACCCCCGAAGACTCGCCGGCGAGGCTTAAGACTTAATATAACGCCTCTGATCCTCGACATCCTAACCCGGCGTTGAGATTTCGAGCTATGCTTTTATTACGCAACTGCCGATTCTTCCGCGGACCCCTTCTCGTTCAAATTGATCTAACTTTCGTTTCTATATTTCTGCACATCCGAATGCGAAATATTGCCGACTTAAGGAAATAAAAGTATATTACATGTCAAAAAATATATTTTAAATATATTTTAAAAATATATTTTAAAATTTATTTTAAAAATATATTTTAAACATATGTTTTTAAAATATATTTTAAATATATATATATATATATATATATATATATATATATATATAATACACAGATTTCTTAGAATTTATTAATATTAGATCTATATATTTATATGAGAGAAAAAAAAAGAAAGAAAGAAAGAGAGCTTTTAAATGGTATCCGTACAGATTTTCCACGCGAGTACTTAAGGTTAATCGGTTCTGTAAAATTTTCTATGCGTTTCTCAAAGTTTTAAATCTTAGCAGTCACCATGGATAATCGAGGGGATAAGGGTGAGGGAAAAAAACGGCACGAAAAAATTAATTACAGGCACATAACGGGCTGTAACGATATAACGGGTCGGTGTACCGAGCTACACGAGGGCCGCTCTGTCGGCAGTAATAGTAAATTAGGCAATAAATAATCATGTTTAAGTGGCAACGTAATTTTAGCTCTGGTAGTCTTACGGCCACCATTAAGGCCATTATTGCGAATCTCTTAATTTGCGAAAAACACTGCCTTCTCACAGGAGAGAAGGGTTGAAAGAAGGGAGCAGAGCGCTCTCGGTGGTGCTAAATGAAGCGCCGCGAGGTTGAAACTGTTCGCCGCATGTGTCGGGGTATTATTCATTCTAACCAACCGGCTCTTGACCTCCTTTCGCCGGATTATATCGCTCTCGCTTTTCTTTCTCTTCCGCTTGCCTTTTTTTTATCTTTCTCTCGGTCATTGCTATAAACAACTCCCATAGTTAATGGCCATTTATTGCGTTTTCTTCAAGCGTCAGCGATAACGAGATTGTTTCCCTCAAACTTTGTTTAAAATCGATGGCTTAATTCTTTTTTTATAACAATTTCTAAATATTAATAGTTTTTAAAATTATAAATAAGAGAAAATTTAAAAGTTGAGTATTAAAAAAATTATTTAAAGATTATTGAGATATTATTTTTCATTTAATTTCAAAATAATTTCATTTTATCAGAATTTTAATTTACGATTCGATTAGGTTGAATAATTCAAGATTGCGACTGAAGACTTGGCTTTCGATCGAAATTTTTGCCAAGGAATGAATGAATTATGAATTCTAATATTAATTGAAGGATTTTTTTTCATGAAGTTTGGCAGATTTCTTTGGAATTATCCAGTGCAATTTTACTTTTATTTTCATATGTTAATACAAAATTACTGAAGCAAACAGACAAGGCAGCCCTTGCTTTAAGTTTGTCTTGTTCTTCTTCCTAAAAGGCGGATATACACTAAGACTCCTCAGGAATACGAAATTTTCAAAGTTGCTTCCCGTTCCAGTCAATGTCTTAAGTCTTACTCCGCTTTGGGTACAGTTCACGTTCTCCGCGGCATAATTTTACATCTTTAGACCTGAATATTTAAACGTAAGTCTGCCATCGCGTTTGAGGATTCGCGGGCGTAGAGATTCGCCGAGGCTGCGCGTAACTTTTACACGATGTTCCATTGTATGGGAATTCCTAAAGATTTCGCGCAGACCGTCGCGATGCGTAAAACACGTGCTGCATCCTCCAACAATAGCGATTCATAGTCTAATATTAATGTGAATAAAGAAACAAGTTTTTTAGATACGTTGTAAAATTTTTCAGAATTTTAATTTCAGATTTATTTATCATAAAATATTTAATGAACCAAAAACGAGAAAATTATGAAACACAACAATTGAACAAATTTTTTCAACAATTTTTTTGAAGTAAAGTTAATTTATTTAAATCATCGAAACTTCTATAAGTTGCAGGAATTAGGGTTGCATGAGATATTATATAAATATAGAAGATATATAAAGTATGTTTATGAGATATTAAAACTAGTCTTGTGTTTTGTCTCGAAATCTGAGACAAGATTTTTAATTAGTTATTAAGACAATATCAAGATTAAGATCGTCAAAATTTGATTTTTAATATTATTGATCTTTTAGAAAAGCTAAAATATATATATTTGTAAATTAGATGAGAAAAAATCATGATACATATTTGAAAAATTTTATTTAGGAAATAAATAGTAAATAAATAGTAAAAAACATTTATTATTTAGTAAATAAATGACATATATATTATATTAATTATTTTAAATTATTATTTATTATAAAGATTATATTAACGATAATTTAAAACAATTATTTTCACATAATATTAGATAAGAATTATAAATTCAAAATTAATAAAATCAAAATAAGACAATACAAAACGAGATTTATACTGCAAAGCTTCAAGATCAAGATAAAATTAAAGTAAAGATAAATTTAAGTTTTCCAAAATTTTCAACATCAATACAATATCTTTATAAATACGTCTTGAGTCTTGTACAACCCTGAAAGGAAGAGATTTCGTGTAAATATTAACTAAAGAGCTTTTCTTTGTTTGTTTTGGTACATTACCTTCGAATTAGAGTCCTATCTGCAATCTTCCTACATATTTTGATATTATCTGTCACAGTCCCTCCGTAATGCTTTTCCTCTTACGTCTCTCATCCTCCTCTTTCGCTTCTC